CAGGACTCAACAAAGACGATTTCAATGGAATTATGGACGAATGATAAGGTAATAATAGGGATTGCCACGTCCTAAGGCACGTAAACTACTTGAGGTGGCCAATCAAAATGTTCTCGAAAACAAGTTACAATGTGTTACTAGGAAGGGACTGGATACACGGAAGTCACTGCATACCTTCATCGCTCCATCAATGCTTGGTTTTCTGGAACGACAAGGGTGAAGTAGAAGTGGTGCAGGCAGATTATAGACCTTTTATCACAGAAGCAAACTCAATGGAAAGGTTCATGTACGAGAAAAATTGTGGACCTGTTGGGGTAGTCCAAGATGGAGAAGAAACTCAAATTGTTGCACAAAGCGAAGAGCCGTTTTTAGTAAATGCACTCACCGAAATGTTCAGTCAAATGAGACCAAACATAGTGGCCATGGAGGAGCCAGTAATTGGCAAAAAGGCAATCAATGAGTTTTAATTGAGTTTTAAACAACAAAGGCAAATGGCCGATGTTCAGGCCTTCAAAACCAAGTTAATGGCTTTCAATAAAGAATGAAAGACAAGACGAAAGAAGAAACGGTCTCGAAAGCATGGGAGACAAATTGGCAGTGTTCGAGTTGGAACAAAGTATTGGCCGGGAAGTCAACAAGGTGGATTGTTTAGAAGAGAAAGTGTCTATAAGGGACATGGACAATGAAGTAATGATGATCACCAATCCTGGATACGCTCAAGCACAAGACTTTCTGATTAAAGTGAATATTGGCAATGAAGGGGAAGATCACCCAACATTCGTCAGCCAGATGCTCGATCAAGAGATTAGTGATAAATTAATCACTTTATTAAATGAATATAATAATTTTTTTGCTTGGAAATATGAACATATGCCTGATTTAGATGGAAATTTGGTGGAACATAGATTGTCAATCAAGCCAAATTTTAAACCTCATAAGCAACCTCATAGGCGTTTTGCTCCTAATGTATTTCCTGAAATTAAAAAAGAAATAGAGCGATTGTTAAAAGTAGGTTTTATTAGAACAGCCGGATATGTCGAGTGGTTGTCCAATATCATGTCGTACTAAAAAATAATAGTAAGTTAAGGGTGTGCATAGACTTTAGAAACTTAAACATAGCCACACCCAAAGATGAGTATCCAATGCCTACAGTAGATTCTTTAGTAGACTCGAATACCGGACACGTACTATATTCTTTCGTGGATGGGTATTTGATGCGAGATTTTTCCAACCGCAAGTGTACGGTATCAAGTTTTAATAGAGTGAGAGTAGAGTATTATTTTCCACAGGGATTGAAATCTAATCCTAAAAT